TCTGTTGCCACAAGGCAGGGCTCATACAGGCCCCGTGCTCCATTCTTCACCTACTCTGCTGCCAGCTGTTCCTCCCAGGACATTCTACTTCTATGCTGGGTTCCATAGTTCATTTTAATAGCCATACAGAACTCACAGAACACAGTCACAGTTGTGGGAGTGTATTAGGTAGGTCAATAGATACCCCAAGTCAGGATAAGTGTACTGCAAAGATGTAGTCACTGCTCCACAGCAACACCTCTTCTTGGCAAGCAACCAAGTCCTTCTCTAGCCTCTCAGCCTTGTGGTCTCTCTGCAACTCTGTCTATCAATTCCATAGTCCCTCTGTTTCTTCTCTGAGTCTCTCTGCTGCATTCCCTGTTGCTCTTTATAGCAACTGCTTTAAAGATGACTCATCCTTATAGTCAGGTAGGCAGTCACAAAAACTGACCAATCCCTTCTATGAAGGTAGCACACCACCTACTTGCAAAGTCCCACCGAATCATTAGAGTCCTGGTGGAAGACTAGTTACACATCAGGTGAACTGCAACATCAGAAGTTCAAAACAACCAACCACTCCACAGGAGAAAGATGAGGCTATCTACTCCCATAAAAAGTTACTATTTGGAAAACTCACAGGGACTGTTCAACTCTGTCCCATAGATTCTCTATGAGCTTGTTTCATTGTTGTCTTGATTTGACCCAATCATTTGGTGAGAGTTAGAGATTTAAGGAGAAGAGCTATATTTTGGAATTTCATACCACCACAATATTTAAAAATAAATAAATATGATCTACTACAGTAAGTTGAAGAGGAAAACTCATTTTAATTAAAGAAAACCTACTTGAGAAATCTAACACCTATTTATAAATTTGGGGGTGGGGGAGCAAACAGAAAGTCCTCTAAGCACTTTAACTAGGATTAGATCGAGATCCTTCAAGATGACAAAAACATTAAAAAATCTAGAGCTAGCATTACAATGTTGAGCAAAATCTCCTGAGATCACAAACAATGGAACTATGTTATCATCTCACAATATACATTGCAAGAGTATATTTCATCTCACATTATACCTAGCTAATGCAATAAGAGAAAAAAGGGGGCATGGAAGATGAGGAGAAAATTTTTATATTGGTAAGGAAGAAATAAAGCTGTTTTTATTCCAAAGTGGCATCATTAACTAAAAGAACTCCTAGAATTAACACGTGCACAAGAGATACTTCTAGGTAAGGTATGTGAGTAAATATTTATAACAATAATATATGAATATCAATAAATCCGAGGAAATATACCAAATTTTATTTTTTATATATTCACAATATATACTTAGAACATTTGAAATTAAAAGCAATACAATTTATAGAAACCCAAACAATCTGAGATGTTTTAGTTTAAAAGTGACAGAATGTTCAGGATACTTATGCAGAAAATTATTATCAATATCTGATCAAAATTTAAGTGTAATGTGTAAGTAAATTGGAAGTTCCAATATTCTTTAAAAGTTAATTACTCCAAACTTAAGTTATACATGAACTCAATTTCAATCAAAATACCATCCAGCGATGCTATAAATAACAAAAGCCTGACAGTTCATACCAAACCCAAACTGAATTCACTGCCATCGAGTTGATGCTGACTCCCAGCCACCCTATAGGACAGCATAGTATACTTCCTGTGAGTTTGGGAGGCTGTAATTATATTTTTAACCATTTTATTAGGGGCTCATACAACTCCTACAATTCATATATACATCAATTGTGTAAAGCACATATGTGCATTCATTGCTCTCATCATTCTCAAAATATTTGCTTTCCACTTAAGCCCCTGGCATCAGCTCTCATTCCCCACCCTCCCTGCTCTCCCTCCCTCATGAATCCTTGATGATTTATAAATTATTTTTTATCATATCTTACACTGCCCAATGTCTCCCTTCACCCACTTTACTGTTGTCCATCCCCCAGGGAGGAGGTTATATGTAGATTTTTGTAATCTGCTCCCCTTTCTAATCCACCTTCCCTCCACCCTCCTAGTATCACCACTCTCACCACTGGTCCTGAGGGGTTCATCTGTCCTGGATCCCCTGTGTTTCCAGTTCCTGTCTGCATTACTGTACATCCTCTGTTCTAACCAGGTTTGTAAGGTAGAATTGGGATCGTGATAGTTGGGGGTGGGGTGGGGGAAGGAAGCCTTTAGGAACTAGAGGAAAATGGTATGTTTCATTGTTGCTATACTGCACCCTGACTGGCTCGTCTCCTCCCTGCCACCCTTCCATAAGGGGATGTCCAGTTGC